GAGCTATGTGAGAAAGTGGATATTCCCACACATTATTCACATGGAAGAGCTATGTGAGAAAGTGGATATTCCCACTCATTGCTCACATGGATTCATTATGTGAAAAAGTGGATATTCCCACACATTATTCACATGGAAGAGCTATGTGAGAAAGTGGATATTCCCACACATTGTTCACATGGAAGAGCTATGTGAGAAAGTGGATATTCCCACACATTGTTCACATGGAAGAGCTACGTGAGAAAGTGGATATTCCCACACATTATTCACATGGAAGAGCTATGCGAGAAAGTGGATATTCCCACACATTGTTGACATGGAAGAGCTATGTGAGGTGGATATTCCACACATTGTTCACATGGATTCATTATGTGAGAAAGTGGATATTCCCACACATTGTTCACATATTTCAGTGACATATAAAAGTAAGCAGCCCTGTGTTAGATACAAAGTACTCATATTATTCGAATAAGCTATTTTTACCTGGAATATCATTCTGTATAATCAGCGGAAATTGTATTTGTCAAATGTTTTTCTGTATTATCTTACTTCCTATGACTTATGTTCTTGACTCCAACACCATTATCTTATTCACCACTGAGGACTGGATACGTGTGAAACTGATTAACAGCTACTCTATGTACGCCAAAAATTGATGTTTGTTTGTAAATTATGGAAGCACAGATAAATTACTTTTGACATATGAACCACTCCGGCCCTGACTAAACTCTTCATATGGCCACAGTATTAATGACAATTGCTACAGCGTTGATGATATGAAACGATTCCTTGATAATCACAAGGGCAATGATAGGAGTGAATATTGGCATGGATCCACGAAAAATTCCTGTGACGTTACCCATAGGTCCTAATACTACTGCGTAGTTCAGTGCACAGATAGCTCCTAAATACAGTGTTCCTATGGCTGTTAAAACCACTCTTTCTTCAATACTGTCTCCAAGTACATTGATCGATTTATAGATAACAAATGGAATGACACTTATACTCGCGCCAATATTCACGAAGAAAGTCGCCTGGAATGGTGTAATCCCGCCCTCCTTTTGGCTTAATTCGTCCAAATAGTAAGATATGGCGAGTAATACAGCGGCGAGTAGACCCATAACAACTCCTTGCGTGGACTTGAGAACATCGCCACATCGTGAAAGGAACACAGAAGTCGGATTCTGTTCTATGTCACCTGACTCAGAATTACTGTGTGTGAGTGGTAGTAACATGTGCATCTGTGATATCTGTGAGGCTGATCGCATTGTTCGCCCGTGTAAAATAGTGCACGAGTTATTTTGAAAAAAAATTGGATGGAAAAAAATGAAGGTAGTTCAGTAACTGCAAATAGAGTTTACGCAGCTATTTGGAAACGTTTTTAAAACATACACAAAAACAAGATTAAATAACACAGAGTACTGAAAATAAAATCTGTCTCCATATTCTACAAGATTCTATCTTGTTATGAAAGCCATTTTCCGATAGTGTGTTTAAACAAAAGTAATTTCAGATTGGAGCCAAAAATATGCTAATATGATGCAAATTATTTTCAACTATGAACTCTAATATTGATTATCATTCCAATATTATAATAGTGATCTGTTGCATATTCTATTGCATATACAAATTAAAGGGAACCAACCCAAGGTCTGCTAATCAGCTTTGTATTTAGTGTCAACGAAAGCGTCTTCATTATATTCACGCAGTTTGTTCTCGATGGTTTGACGTAATGATAGTTTAAACTGTGTGCGCCGATCCAGCGTTTTATCTAAGTTGCGTAGTCATGATGTTATGAATTACGGCGTTATATATCCCATTGTTACTATACTAGTAATTATAACTGTGAATATTTGTAGAATGCAGACGTAATGGTATTTTACTTTAGAAACTGTGTATTGCTGATCCATCGTTTTATTTAAGTTGTGTAGTCACTTTGTTATGAATTATGGCGTATGACTAAAGATCATTTTTATTGGGAAATGTGTTTTTTTATTCAAATATATTATAACGCAAATCATTCGATGTTTAACGTCAACAATGCAACGCTATTTGTGAAATTTAGGAATGGAGACAGTATTTTTACGTGATTTTGAGAAAGTCGCTGACACATATTCGTACTTAAAGGGGAACCGCTCAATTCCATGGATTGCACCAAAGAATCATGGGACACTATTGTTTAGGTTGTTTACAAAGTTAATCTATCTATTGTTATCCATTGTAATTTTAATCCAGAAAGTAAATTTGTTGTGAGATTAGGCTTAATTGGAAGTGCCTCTTTAAGACCCAGAATTTTCAGTGACGCATTGTTCCGTTTTGTCGGCAAAGCACGAGTTTATTATATTTTTACCTCCATGGTGCGATCCACAATAATTCTTTTTTATGATTGGGAAATAATTGTTTATATTAAAATCAGCATTATCTATAATCCAAGTCTTCCTATATTTATACCGGCAAAGCAACAAGACACAGCAAATATTCAAATTTTGTGAAATCGACTATTTACATGACGCTAAGGAGTATGTCAGCAGAAACCTTGATACAATATCCTAAAAATGTACAAACGTTTAAATGTATTTACGTTTAAGTTGTCCTATTTTTATACAGCATATTGTGTTCTTTTGGAGTTAAAGGGCGTTGGTCGTCGCACCACGCTTGCGCGAGATATGGGTCTCTGATTTTATTTCATTAGTCTCATCCATAGCTGGCAAAAGCCTGAAAAAAATAACACTAAAGGGGAAAAGAATACTAAACCCGAAAAGAAAAAGCAATTATGGTTTGACCAAGACTGTTGGTCACTTAAAAAAGAGTTTAGAAATATTTCATCTCTTCTTTAGAAATATCCAATAGATCCATATATTAGAGGCAGATTTTTCTGTTTTAAAAAGGAATATAAAAAAAGAGAAATGAATTTAAAGTTTCGTAACTAAATGAACTTGAGAGTTTAAAGGGAGATTTCTCTAAATTCTGGAAATTTTTACGAGATTTAGATGATGATAGAAACAGTAATGAAATACATAATTT